GACTCCGTCTTATTAGGCCTTCTGCAGTGGTGGGCGGTTATTTCTGTGCTTTGGAGTTGTCTGGGGAGTTGGTTTTGCCTGCCTTTTATCTAGATGTATTGGGCGAGGGAGGCTGTGTCTCCCTTTTGTTTTTGTTTCTAGTATTTGATCTGTGTTTCAGTCATTTGTGTTGTTCTTTGTTTTTTTGGTCTGGGTGTTGGCCTCTGTGAGCCCGAGTGTCACCTTATTATCCCAATGGGATTCGACACTCGGGTATTACCCTGTTGGGGTCTTTTTAGTTTGTTTCAGTTTAGTTTGTGTTTTGTAGTTTGTAGTTGGTTAGTCTGTTGCGAGCTTTTTATTCTAGTGTTGCTAGTCGGGACTCTAGGCGGTCTTTTGACCTGTCCTCCCACTTTTTCAGCTGTTGGCTGCTGTGTATTCGCACATTTGTGCATTTTGATTTATAAATCTCCTATCGTTTCGGGAAAAAAAAAAAGTAAAGATACATGTTATAGTAGTTTGCCTAATTTAAAATTCTTGATTTTATGGTAAAATTTTTTGTAATTAATAAACAATGAGAATTTTGACTTTTACGAAATTGTCACGCCGAATTTTACCTAAATTAACTGGATTTCTATGCAATCCGATTTTTTAATAAACAATTAATCTGTTGCAATTAGGAAAATATATATGCGATAGTATTTTGCCTAATTCGAAATTCTCGATTTTATGGTAATTAATTTTTTTTATTAAAATATGAGAACGAATTTTGACTTTTGTAAAATTGTAAGCATTAGTCGAAATTTATCTAAATCAAATCCACAAAACCCATATATTTAGGGTCCATATATAGCTGCTCGATATTTTGGGAATAATTTAAAAAGAAAATTAAAAGACTGCCAAAAATATAATGCAATAAATTTTGGTTGACTTTTTTTATTACTATTTTTTGTAAATAGGTTCTCTCTTTATACTAGTGCGGTACCCGTGCGATACACGAGCTAGTTTTATTAAGGTAAACATTTAGATTTGGATGATTGGATGATTGAAAAAATGTAAAATGCATGTATTGGAATAAACAAAATGTAACTTATATATATTATAAACACATCCTTGTGCACAATATTATTTATTTGGTGTTTTAGTATATCGTCTATCACCACAAATTATATTAGGATTCGAGATATGATTAAATAAATCAATTAACTATTTTAAAGGATATATATGATTTTTGTAAGTGTATGCAATCATTATTTATTTTGTAAGTGTATGCAATCAATTCCAAATTTGTATTATAAAGGATTAAACAAACCCAAATTTTTAGGATGTTCCAATCCGATTTCATTTTGAATTGCAAATTAATATTATCTGACGTTGTTTTATATATATATTTTTTATTTAAAAAAATTCGAACTAAAGAAAGTACTAGGCAAATGATAAGTGGTTTTTAAATTTTAATCTTCAATTTAAAATTGGGCCCGATTTCTATGTAATCCATTTTTTTTTTAATAAACACGATATGTTGCAATTAAGTAAACATACATGTTATAGAATATTGCCTAATTAGAAATTCTAGATTTTATGGTAAACATATTTTTCTAATAAAAGAATTTTCACTTCTAAAAAATTGTCATGCTGAATTTATATAATTTAACCAGATTTTATGCAATTTGATTTTTTTAATAAATAATTAATCTGTTGCAATTAGTAAAAGATATATGTGATAGTATTTTGTCTAATTCAAAATTCCCGATTTATGGTAATCGGATTTTTTTAAATAAAAAAATGAGAAAAAAATGACTTTTGCAAAATTGTAAACATCAGCCGAAATTACCTAAATTAAATCCACAAAACCCACAAATCCACAAAATTCATGAATTTAGGGTTCATATATAGCTGATTGATTTTTTTAGGAATAATTTAAATAAAATAAACACTGTCAAAAATAAAATGCAATAAACGTTGTTTGACTTTTCTTGTTACTATTTTTGGTAAATAGGTTGTCTCTTTATATATAAACTAGTACAGAGCCCGTGCGATGCACGGGATGCACAATTTTAAGGTTGTTTATCCAGCCTTATAATTATATAAATGAATAAAAAAATATACGGGATATATATAGTACGGACCTGTGCGAGACCGAGATATATTTATCTGGGGAATATTATATTATAAGATGCAATATTCAATAAAAATTTTATAATACGCAGGAAAATTATACAATAAAATAATATTCGACAAAGAAACAATCATATATTATTAAAGACCTCTTTGTACATAGATATTAAATAATTTATTAGTAAAATAGTGTATAAATTGATTACAATAACAAAACAACATGCTCACGGGATTAGTAAAAATATTCCATGGAATGAAGATTTAATGGGATTAAATATTTAAATTAATTCATTTAGATAATTTTAAATTAGATAATTCAAAAGCCTTCCAACATTGTTTTAAATTTAATATATTACAGCATGGGTATACTTTAAATAGATTAATATTTAAGAAACTTTAATTAGCATATTTTTTTTAAAAAAAAATATTTTAGGGAACTTTAAACAACATATTTACGTCACCCATAAAACAAATTATATTTCAACATCATAGTTGTTCTATATATATACGTCCACCCATAAATTTTTTGTAAGTCGAAGGTAATTAATCCCGTGCTTTTTTTTGGTTTGTTTGTTCAATTTTTTTGACAAAACTGATGTCATGGATAAAAAAAAAATAAATATTAAATAAATTAATTAAATAATATTAAATAATATGCTTTAGACAGATATAGAATGCGAATAATCCTCTCATGTCAAAGAACGCGATTTCAAAATTGACTCAGATCCAGCAATCCTATCCAGTATTTCATTAAAATAAATATTAAATAAAATGCTTTAAACAAAAATTAGATAAGGAATTAGATAATGAATTTTCAATCTGCTTTTTTTTTTAGTATAGATAGACTTTGCTTACAATTTTCTACTTCACCGATTTTATGGGATTTGTTTTGACTAAATCGATGTTATTATGGAATAAGACAAATAAATAAAGCCTTTTTTATTTTAGTAAAAATTTTACGTACTTTTTTTTTGACTTATCGGATGCTATAAGATTTTTTTTCTTAATGTTTTACAGGATATAAGACAAATAAATAAAATAATTAAATAAAATTCTGAATAGAAATAACAATGCATTAATTACGTTGACTTTTCAACCTACTAAATTTAGTAAATAGAATACCTTATTATATAAGTTTAGATATCATAAATTGATTAATTAATTTATAGAAGTGGGATTTTTTAAAAAAATTCATGCTACTAATATAATGGATATGTAAATATATAAGGTAAGGGAAAGAGCATATAAGGGGCTTCAATTCGAGAAGGTGTCTTTTCTTTTCTTTTCAAGAGTCGAATATTTAATCTAATTAGCTAAGAAAACCCACAACAGAAACCCCTTACACATAACACAACCAAATATTATAAATCTCCTAAATCAAAACAATACTCAGACATTTCACAGTAACTCGTCTAATATCTGATGTCCTCACTCATCATCCTCATCATCATTTCCGCAGCATTGAGAGCATTCAACTTCTCGATCAGCTTGGCCTACTCTCTTCGTATGCCAATTTCTTCAGGTTGAATCTCTTGTGCTCTTTAGGAGGCTGCGTTTGAGATTTCGTTTCTGTGGGGTCAGCACCAATGGCTGCATGTACCTTCTTGGACAAAGCCTTTATGTTATTTGCTTCAACACCCTTCTTAATATACTGGCTAAACACGGACATGGTCACTGGTGATGCAAAAGTTATTATGCACAAAGGAACCTCCAAGATCTACATGCACAAGAGGGATAAAGGAGTGCAATACATCTGTTATCAATGGTCGGAGTCAACGGTAGCTTGGCTCCGGTTGTAAACATAGCACGGTTATTGCAGCCACCTTCGATAGAGAAAAAAATAAATATATGTAAAAATAACAAAACCAACATAAAATATATGTCAAATATTAGAGGTTAACTACAAACACAAATGTTAACAGTAGATCAAAATTGCTCAACTTTTTGATAAGTAAGTTGCACCGTAGATTTAATTAGGATAACTGATGCTTTAGGAAAACAAACTTGATATAAATGCTTCAAGTCCATAGTATTCCTTAAGGCTGGATCAATAATATTTGGGAGCTTTGATTTGTCTGTATGTTGAGGCATAGCCTGTCATCGAAAAGTAGGTTAGATTCTGATATTAGGAATGAGAAAAATGACGCAAAAAATATCGATATTAATAAAAAATAATTGGGTATGCTTACCCAAGTAACTATGGATTTGCACTGAGCTTTAGCCACTCTGTCAACCGGCCTTCTTGCCATTAAAAGCTCCAAAAGAATCACACCAAAAGCATACATGTCACTTTTGTCTGTAAGTTTGCCTAATTGATCCCTGCAATAAATTATCAAGAGCTTCCATTTCAATAACACCAGAAATGAAGTTATTTCACCCATAAGAAAATAGACATAACGTATATTTTAAGAACCTTACTCTTAGGGGACTTTCTTCAGAATTTTCCAAAGTGTACATAGTCGAGACAAAAGCAATACTCCATATACAAATTTATGTGTTTTATCTATTCATAACCGACGAAGAGATTTATCAAGCAACACCTTAACTGTCAAGAAATCAAAAAGTCACTAATGGTTGACCAAACTAATTACAGTGGACGGAAAAGTGAATGGTAAGCCTTTAAGTTCATCACGTTTGAAAGTCAGGGTTGGCTTGGGAGGTCTTGGGATTCCACACTGCATAAAGTACTTAGAAAAATCATAAACAAAGAAGACACATCAATCACCATAAATTATTAAAAAGATCAACAACACTTACCAAATACTTTAGTATCAGAGGGCAAGCAATGGCAGGATCAATATTACCAACAACGACCACAATAAAAGTTGATGGATCCTTAAAGCAAGTGTTAAAATACTCACAAGCTCTAAAGGGATCAATTTTCCGTATGTCACTAATTTTGATAGGCTTAAGGAAAAATACTCATATTACTATCAAAATATTTTAAAAAAATAAATAGCAAAGGATAGATAAATTACCCTAAAGAAATAGGATTTCCATCGTTGATCTTCCTCACGGTTAACAAATGCAGTATAAGGATCTCTCTTTTGAGCACGAATAGACTCCTATGACATTTGCATAACTATTTTCACGTCTTCTTCTCCAGGTTGTAGATTCGTCACGAAGAGTTGAGAGACGAACTGGCGGGGAAGAAAATAAATATAAAAGATAGAAATTAGTTGGATATGCATGATAATAAGGATTGATAAACTTAAATGGCATGCATGATTAGAGGCGGATATACATATATTTCTAATCCATGCAGTTAAAAGGTCTCAAACTGTAATTTACATAAGAAGCAACTAAAACCTTGACTGCAAATCGAAATGAAAGTTTGAAGTAAACTTGAATTAGAAATTAAAGGAGTCTGGAGATACTAAAACAAAAGATTTGACTGGTAAATATTGAAGTCTCAAGAACTCTATTAGTTAAGCTCTGATAACATCGTAAGCTAATCCTCAACTCCCTCAAAACCTCTTCAAAGCAAATAATTAAATATTAAAAAAGGGTTTCATAACACCAAA